TTTATTTAATTCGTGCACTTTTTCTTCTCCTGATTTCCAAGGTAACCTGACTTCTTCAATATTCCATGAAGTGGGATCCATAACATTGAATAATTCAACTATTTTAGGTGTATTACTAGAATGACCTAAATTATCTTCTTTATATTTAATGTGATTTTTGTTTAATAATCTTGCCTTCATTTTTTCAATAATACACTCTATTACTTTGTCTCGTGGCAGTGATTTAAACCTTACATTATCTTCAAATTCTATGCATTTAAAAGCATCACTTTCTATCATTTCATTAATTTTATTTTCGTGTATATCAAAACTATCTTTTAATTGTATGAAAAAAATCAATCGTTCGTTTGATTAGCTTATCTGCCTTTGTTAAACTCAATTGTCTCGCTTGCAGTGCATTTGATAATAATGCAAGTTCATCCAAAATGTCAATCATTAATGCCAAGTCTTTTAAAAATTGTTTGTTTTTCAATCTTTCTTCCATGCCAGAAAATTTCTTATTTTTGGAAAAATAAATATAAAGAGCTGGATAAGCCTTCCAGACCACTTTGACAGCTCTAAGGCTACAAGAAGCCCATCATGGACCAAAAACACGGCCTATTTTGATGCTTTCAATATATAGTTCTTCAGAAATTTGTTTAAGTTCAAACTGACTTTTATTTGACTGATGAAAAATTGCATAAATCTTGTCCAAAAAAATCTTGAAATAGCTTATTTCATTGATATCATTTATAGCATCATCTAAGGCCAGTTGTAGCCAATGATTCAAACAATGCCAAATTATGATGTTTGGAAAATCTTGAATCAGTCTTGTAGAAACTCCAAATTTATGTCCAAGCATGGTGCTCGCGCCATCAGAACAAAATCCGATTAAATTTTTCTTTAAATATTCTGTGTCAAATCCTGTATCGGTTAACATATTTCTCAAAGTATTATAAATATTTTCTGCTTTTGTTGAGTCTAATTCCATTAAACTGAGAAAAATTGTTGGTGAAGAATCTTGTAATTACAAGCACAGTTTTACCTGAAATTGTAGAAGCTTCATCAATAATAATACAAATCTTTGAATTGTTTTAGATGATTTTAATAAAAATGTGTTTTCTTATTAATTCAGCAATATGCTCTACGATTCTGATGGCTGAAAATCGAGAATGTAGGCAGTTCCCTAAATCGGTTTCATTCTTAATTTGTAGCTCTACTTCATCCTCCATATCTGACATTGGTCGTTTTCTTTTTACTGTAAGCTGTAAACTATGTTGAAAATTTTGCTGGTTATTGCAATATTTTTTTCAGTAAGTTTATCAATCACTGTAGTGAGAGGTTCTTTTTTAGATTCATTTAAAATATTTATAACTCTCAAATGAGAGCTTGATTCGAAATGTTCCTTCATTTCTTTTCTTAATGAAGCTTGCTGAACTTTTTTATCAGTTCCAGATGCTTTAATAGTACACTTTTGCCATTCCGAAGAAACGTGTAAAGATTTTCCTCCAAAGACCCCCAAATGTGACGTATTTGCACAGTGGGAACAGCCAAGCTTTTTGCCTTCAATTATCAAGCCATTATATTTCTTTAAAAAAATATTGTGCCTGCTCGGAAGTCCAACAATTGGGTACTAAATTTTCACAATCATGTAAATACTCTTCTATTGCGGACACATTTTCAGATGATTCAACATTTAAGATATTTTCATCACCAAAATTATTGTCATCGGCATTTTCAGTATTTAAATCATTATTTTCACTACTAGAATTACTGACTAATGATTTTGTCATTTTATTGGAAAACCAGTCACCAATGCTTTTCTGGCATTTCATTATGAAGGGTAAATAATATTGAATAGAAAACTTTAATCTTCGAATAACAGTCCAGTTAGTATTAAACACTAAAATATCACATGCAATTTACTAGAAACAAACAGACTGACTATGACTCACTGGTTGTGTTGAATTGTATAGAAAACAGTTGAGCAAGTGCACGAACAAGGCAAGTGCGACCCCTGTTAATAAAATAATAAACTAGACGTTTGTCTTGTGTCAGCACGAACTTGGATGCGACCGAGTCACAGCCTGCGATGACATTAGACACGCACGCGCATAGCAACATAAATCTTGATTTATCTGTTGTAGAAACGGCTCTTTAACTGCTAGAATTTCGCGTCCCTTTGCATTTGAAGTTTATTTTGTACACCGTATTATTTTCTACACCGTTTTATAAGATTAAGATTATTCGGTTTTAAGTTCATTTTATAACATTTGTTTTCATAACAATTTTTAACAACCGGTTCTAAAACTGCTTCAAAATTTAACAACTGGTTCGCGTGAACCGGTGTGAACCGGCTCCAGCTAAGCACTGGTTGGGGGTATGTAGTCACTCAAGGCCTGCTGCTATATGCCTGTCATTTGGACTGTTATGTTTTGTTCATACTGTTGCTGACTTAACTGGTTCGCGGTTATTACATGTTTTGATTGACAACCTACGTTGCTTCAATTTCCTGGTGTTTTGGGATTGCTGTTTTGGAGTGCATCAGAGCGTAACACAAATGTGAAGGGTGTGTATGTCTGAGTATAGAAGATTCCTTAAACTAGGATATTTTGTTCATGAACAGAGACAGTTTATTGGTGCATCAAGGACACACATATAACAAATATTTCTGGATATGCAAGTGAGTATTATTAGCCTAGGGGTGCCATTTGGCCAGTTTCTTGGTAGAAGTTACCTTTAACATCAGTTGTAGACATAAATTATCCAAGGGTGTCAAAACATACACCCCATAAACTGGATTCATTCCCCTGGATGTATTCTCCAGCCTAGCACTTAATTACATGTGCAAGCCCATCTTCCACCGCTGGGTCCCCTCTGCCCCACTGCACTGAATCAGTACTGTCAGAAGTACTGCTTCCTTGCAAGGCGTGAGGAGAAGCATGCAGATTCCTTTTGGGAAACCACCACCGTAAAATGGTAGGAAGGCTTGAACAACCTGTTGAAAGGAAACCCCTCAGAAAAGTCAAAGCATCACATTAGCACTTCCTCTCCAAAAGCCAAAGGCAGCTGAAATTCACAGCAGGGATCTCCTCCTTGGACCAGCCCAGCAACAGTGAACAGCACAACTGGATTTAGAAGTTAACTAAGTTGGGATTTTTAAATAGCTCATAGTGAATTTATTAATTTAAGATTAATTATTTAAGTAGGCCTAGTAATCATTTCACCATTTGGCTATGCACTAGTATTTTTCATGTAACATTTAACACTTCCTTTAACACTTATTTCCCTAAAACAATTTCACTATGAATATAGAATCTAGGAGTAGATGAATGATTTCAGTGGGAATTTTCTTGGAACAGATATCAATGTCCATGACAGTCACTGTTATTAAAACTGCACTTCTTCTAATGCCTGAGCCAGATTAATCAAAAGGAGAAATGATAGAAAAATATACTGCTTTTGACTGTGTTAGTGCAGGCAAATGCATATTTGAATATATACTCTAGGAGTCACACACTGAAATCTAAGAGACCTCCAGGGGATCACGAAATAGGGGTCATAGTAAAGGGACGTTGCTGACACCTGGCAGTTTGGCAAGTTTTGCGGCGTTGAATCCCACAGAGATTGCACAGGGGAGAAGAAACGCATTATGCACCACATGGCTCAATCAGAGGGAAATCCCCATTCCATTATGGGAGATGTAGTCCTCGAGGGAGCCCAGCCCATAAGAGGGAATTGGGCCTGAACTACAATTCCACAAGGCCATGTGCTGATAGGGAAATGCAGTTTCATGTTTTGTTGAACTGATTCAAAATGAAATGCACTGTGCCAGATAAAAAATGAAATATTTCAATTCAGAATATTTAATTTCAATTTTCTCAACTGAAAATAAAAAAATTTCCCCATGAAAAATTTTGATTTTGTGGAAACTGCAAAATTCCTAGCCAGCTCTAGAAATGAACTTTTTACCACAAGGTAATAGCGGTTTTCCCTCTCAGAGCCTCCCTGGAACCCATTGTCTTCTAAACTCCCAAGTTCATCTCAAGCGTCCCAAAGGGTGTATAGGGGTCTGTGCAAAAAAGAGGTTTTTATGGCAGCACTTTGCCCTTTTCATCAACAGAGGGAGTAGAGAACTCTTTCCCCTCTGGAGCTTCTGGCCATAGGGCTTATACAAATATAATATAACACTAATAATTGTAATGAAAATATAAATATAATAAACATATTCTTCCAGCTGAGAAACACCTTACCTACAAATGATAATAAATTGTTTTTTTTTTTTTAAACAAAGTTCTTACTCAGGACTTCCATTCTAGGTACTTTAATGCTACAATCTGCTTTTCCTTTGCATCACTAGATTATTTATTGTTTTCACACTGAAAATGCCAGGGTACATTTCTTACCTTCATACTGAAAAGTATGTTTGCTCTGTGAACTGGTGACCTTGTCAGAGGCCCCTACTTCAAGGAAAATGTCATACATTTTTATTTGTTTTCTGATCATCTTATCTTCCACTCACATTACAACTGCAGAGAAAATCCCCTAAAAGCTTAAAACTGAAAAAAAAAATGCAACTGGTCTCCTTCTCACGAAATCTAATTATAGGTTACTTTCTTTCTCCTTTCTCCTCCACCTAGGTACAGTAAGCTGGATGTGTATATTTTAAACGTTATTGTATCCAGAAAATTGGGGGGGGAAGGCGTTTCTCTTAATAAAACTGTGAGGTCCAAGTTCACCCGTGGCATAACTCCATAGATTTCAATGGAGATACATCAAGGATGAATTCAATCCTGTATCTGAATTGCCATGTGCATCAGAACGTTAATTAGGTCTCTCATCCTTAGTTTTTATTTTCAATACGAAGTCAGCATGAATTATCCAATTCATAAAAAGTACAGTCACAGCACAAATAAATTCTGAAAATGTAATTTTAACTGTCAAAGAAGTTCAACAGTGCTGATGAATAGGGATTTTTTCTTTACAAGCTGTCTGTGCATTGCAGCACATCTTTTTCTTACCTTTAAACGCCACTGTTTTGCCACTGTTTAGAAGTTCCATACATCTTATTTCCTCCTCATGAATCTCCAGCTGAAATCTGCATTCTGGGTGGATGCCATTCACCTGTTTAAAATGAACAAACAGGCCTGGGTCTTAAAGCTTTTTAATTAAAATGATCCATAATGGATGCAACTACCAATCAAAGAATTCACAATTTGTATTCATTATTTTAAGCCCTTAAGAGTGTGCTAGGGACAGTCCTTTCTCAAAGTTTATGCATTTTAGCTTTTCAAAATGAAACATTAATATAATGCTCTTCCATAAAAAGAAGTCCTCTTCAACTCCTTTCTGAAGCATTCCAAAACCAACATTGCCATTTACAAAAAAGAGCCCTTGACAACATAGTGTATTTACCAATGTTCTTCTGAGAAACTTTCCCTCCACCCTACAGAAAGACAGTGTGTCAATCTGTACTCCAATATAACATCCTTAATGGGGCGACAAGTACATTTTTGATCTTTTAAAGAAAGCTGCTTCAGATTAGAAAAGCTGAATTTGCATCAGTATGTGTGTCAAGCAATCAAACTGCACCATCTTTAATGTAATAACATTTGCTTTTCTTTGTCATAGTGTGACCATTACCTTCTGGGGGTCACAATACTTCATTACCGATTCTTTGATTTAAGCAAGTAGTATGCAGTGGGAAACTCAGTTTAAAACAGAGCTGTGTTGTTATCATTATTCATCCTTTGCTTATAGTACTGCCCACAATACGCCAGGCACTTTCAAGACAGAAGGGAGGGTCCCTGCTCATGAGCACAGACTGTTAGGTAGATAGAGGCTAGAGGAAGGGGAACAACAAATAGAGATTTTTTTTATTCAAGTCAATGAGATTCATGGCAGGCAGCACAGTAGGAGAACTGGAGGAATGAACTCAAGAAGCTCACACGATGCACAGGAGTCTGCACGGAACAGGTGACTGTGCAATACATTGACAAGCATTAGGGTAAGGGTGGAAATGTTGGCAGAGTTGAGGGGGTACGGACAACAGAAAATATTTATAATACATTTATAATAATAATACATTTTAGTCTTTAGGAATACAGCAGCAAGATTAAGCAAATGAAACAAAATTATAAGGCAGTAAGACTTTGCTGAACTGTTCAATCATGTGCACATTTTGTAATTCACACACAAAGTGATGGTCTCTCTCTCTCCCCTTGTCAGCAAAGATTTAATAATAGAGTCCTGTAATGAGGTCTAATTTACAAAACACCATTACTTTTGCATAATATTAGAACATCAGTTAGTACACTATGAAATATTATAAATAAGTGAGAGGCAGGATGGTCTTGGGTTTAAGGCAGTGGCGTGGGTCAGGAGATCTAGGTTCAAGTCCTGGTTGTGCTGCAGATTTCCTGTTTGACCTTGGGCAAGTCAATTAAGACCAGATTTTCAGGAGTCAGAGCACTGGATATTCTATACAATCTGGCCATAGCATCACAGTAGAAGTTCATGAGTGTTAAGCACTTCTGAAAACTTGACCCTTGTTCTCTGAGCACCTCATAGACTTTGTCTACACAGCAATGTAAGCCTAGGATTAGTGGGATTCGAGTCAGCTGACCCATGTCAAGAAATCCTGGGCTTGAGCGTCTACACTGCATTTTAACCCTAGGTTAAGGATTTTCTGACCCATACTGCAACCTAGGGCTCTGGCGTCCACACTGCAGTGCAAAGACCCGAGTCAAAGTAACCCTATCCCAGAGTGCCTTCCTCCCACCAGTGTTGACACTCTAGCACTATGAATATGTTACACTGTGGGAAAACTCTCATTCCCCTGTGCACCTATTCTGAGGATAATTAGGACATCAGTCTCCATGGCTGTCAAACTATTAAAATGAAACTGCGATTCTTAATTATTTATAATGGGATGTTCAGTGAAGGTGGTTTTGTTTGGTTGTTTTTTTATCTATTTATTTTTGTCTGTTTTGAAGTTTGACATAAAATGTAGGTTTCAGAAGAAAAACAGAGACACACCCCAGCCTGCCTGCTTCTGGCTGCAGAGCAGTGAAGTGCATCCCCCGGGGTTGGGGTGCAGTGTGCTCCAGCATCCTCGGGAATCTCTTATCCCTGCCCCTCCTGCACCATGGGAGGCAGGGATAAGGGATCCCCCGGAGGCTGTGGGGAAGTTTTGGGGTTGGTTCGCACTCACCACCCTCACAGTGCATATTGCCAGGGCACCTCTGCACACACAGCCCCGTGGTGAGCAGGGGGGAAGGGAGAGTGGAGCGGGGACCAAGTGGCTGCCCTGCATGGAGAGGGAGGAGCCAGGGTCCTGGGGGTCATCCTCCCCCGGCCATGCTGAGCCGGTAGCTGTGCCGCTCCCCCTCCCTGCAAGGCAGCTGCTTAGTTCCTGCTCCACTCTCTGGCCCTTGCTCCCAGGCCCACCCTGCCCTCCCTGGGGCTGAGTGTGCAGGAATGCCTGGGTGGCATGCACCAAAATCTAGCTGTGCTCTTGTGACCAGGAAGCAGCTGTCTTTACAAAAATCATCTTCTGATTGGTCTCCATTGAAAACCCTGCAGACTCTCTGGTAGTGTGCTAGCAGACAATGGGTTAATGCTGACCTTAGCGGCTGCCTTTGTAAAGGGAGGTGTGGCTTCTGTTTGCAATAGTGTGCAACATATTGTACCACAGATTGTCCACTTAGAGAGGACTAAGGAAATTCCCCCAAGGAACTTGGATACATCCGGAGGACTTCCTGAACCCAAATCAAGCCTGGGCTGTGTGCATACAGGAAAGCAATCGGGCTCAAACTCAAGGTCCCAGTTTAACATGGGCTCGGACCCTCCAGCCCTGCAGGATCTTGGACCCTAGGTCTGAGCCCCAAGTTAAGACAATTGGTATGTGGACACAAGGGGGGTTAGGCTTGAGCCCAGGCTCGAGCCTGGGCTTACATTGCTGTGTAGACATACCCTTTAAGGCCAGAAGGGACCACCATGATCATCTAGTCCAGTGGTCCCCAACCTTTTCATGTGGCGGGCGCCAGACGACTAGCTGCCGAGGACCGTGGCTGCCAGACAAGCAGCCGCCAAAATGCCGCCGAGAACTGGCAACGCCAAGAAGCGTCGCCGCCGAAATGCCGCCGAAAATCAGTGGCATTTCGGCGGCAACACTTCTTGACGTTGCTGCTTCTCGGCGGCATTTCGGCGGTTGCTTGTCCGGCAGCCAGTAGGCGGGCGCACATAAATACCGCGTTGGGGACCCCTGATCTAGTCTGACCTCCTGCATATTGCAGGCCACAGAACCTCACCCACCCATTCCTGTAATAGACCCCTAACCCCTGGCTGAGTTACCTGAGTCCTCAAATCATGATTTAAAGACTTCAAGTTACAGAGAATCCACTATCTACACCTGTTTAAACCTGCAAGTGCCTGTGCCCCAGGCTGCAGAGGAAGGCGAACAACCCCCGGTGTCTCTGCCAATTTGACCTGGTGGAAAATTCCTTCCCAACCCCAAATATGGCGATCAGTTAGACCCTGAGCATGTGGACAAGACCCACCCGCCAGGCACCTGGGAAAGAATTCTCTGTAGTAAATCAGAGCCCTCCCCATCTAGTGTCCCATCACCGGTCACTGGAGATATTTGCTGCTAGCAGTCGCAGATCGGCTACATGCCATTGTAGGCAGTCTCATCATACCATCCCCACCATAAACGTATCAAGCTCAGTCTTAAAGCCAGTTAGGTTTTTTGCCCCGATTACTGGCTGTTCCAGAACTTCACTCCTCTGATGGTTAGAAATATTTATCTAATTTCAAGATAAACTGACCGTCAATAAGTTTATATCCATTTGTTCTTGTGTCTACATTGGTGCTTAATTTAAATAACTGCTCCTATTCCCCAATATTTATCCCTCTGATATATTTATAGAAAGCAATCATATCTCCCCTCAACTTCTTTTGGTTAGGTTAAACTAGCAAAGGTCTTTGAGTCTCTTTGCATAAGATAGGTTTTCCTGATCATCCTAGTAGCCCTTCTCTGCACCTGTTCTGGTTTGAATTCATCTGTCTTAAACATGGGAGACCAGAATTGCACACGGGATTCCAGATGAGGTCTCACCAGTGCCTTGTATAATGGTACTAATACTTACCTGTCTCTACTGGAAATACCTTGCCTGATGCATCCTAGGACTGCATTAGCCTCAGTTTCCCATTTGTAAAATGGAAATGTTACTTCCTTTCTCCCACCTTTCCTCTATACTGTCTATTAAAATCATAAGCTCTTCAGAGCAGGCACTGTCTCTTACTCTGTATTTGCACAGTGCCAAGCACAATGGAGCCCTGATATATGTTAGGGTTTCTAAGTGTAATAATAATAATAATAATAATAAAAACCTGCGAGTATTATTATTTTATTATTCCTAATTATCTGTATTTTAGTAGCACTCAAATGCCCAATCCGAATCAGGGCCCTAATGTGCTAGGTGATGTATAAACCAATAGGAAGATATAGTCCATGCCCCAGTAGCCAAGAAACTGTCAAAATAAATGAGGTATATTTTGTGATGTGTTATCCTGTTTTATAATGTCTTGATCTGCCAATTTGCAAAAATTCAGTAATCTGCACTATGCCTCCTACTCATTATTATTTATGATTAGTGCTAGTGTGAATTACAAACAACAATTTACTGGAGAACCACCAATGCAGAGTGTAAATCATACTGTAAACATTTTGGCAAAGAAACTTGTGAAAAAACAACTTCCATCACAGGACTGAAAGGATTGCGCAAACTGAGATTTAATAAAGATGGTTACTCCTTTGAGAAAATACAATTCTGTAGTACCCAAAGACTACAACTAATGCAATACTTCTTTTTCAAATGCCCACTGCATGTCAGATGCATGTAACAACATCCATTTTCTAATACAGGAACCAGTTTAATTCAGATGTACTTTATCAGAGTTTAAAAGTTTAGGGCCCAATCCTATACAGTACTGCTGATTGGTCTTTTAGGCTCTCTTTCCCCCTGTTCTACCAAAGAATAGTTTACATAAGTAGTCAATATAGACCTGTGCTGTCATACACACTTAGCTGGACTGCTATAGTTTGGTGTCTGTCAGCATTCCCATTAATAAATCAATTTTTCAGGCACCTGAGATGCAAATTTTTGTGGTAAAATTATTGTTTCTGGCAGCCATTTTGCCTTTACCATCAGTATGGCTTACCAAGTTTGGTGCACAATAGTCTGTGTTTTTAAATTTACAATGCAGAGAAGGTAACTGTTCTGTTGTTAGATGCTTTTGTGTGTCTCCATTTGAGCCATGAACTAGTTAATAAAATAGTCAATAAACAACATAATTTTAGATTCAATTAAAACAAGGAAGGTTTTACAGCAACTAATTTCATAAGGATTTTAGTGTCATTATTATTACATGCACAGTATAGAAGTTAGTTAAACAACATCATTTTTACCCTAATCAACACACTCCAGGGAGTAAAACTCTTTAGCCATAAATAATAACCACTTCCAAACTCTCCTCTGACAATACTCTAAGAACATCTCAAACCTCTGCTGGGACCGTTTCCCGTTTTCATTTGAATCCGTTAAAAAAAGAAAAGAAAAATACATACAAATAATATAAAGGGCCAAATTATGCTCTCATTATATTGGTGTAAATAAAGGATAACTCCGTTTAAATAAATGACATTATTTTGGATTTACTTCGGTGCAAATGAGAGCAGACTTTGGCTCTGAGGCTTATTGAAACCCACAAGGGGAAGAGCGTTCAGATTAAGGGTTTTCACTACCCCACTGTGCTAGATATTGCAGCACATAAGTCCCAAATGTCACTCACTGCCTTCTCTCCCTGGATGTGCACAAAGCGGCATGTTAAAGATAAAAGGCTAGCCTTAACGTCGAGTGAATGTCCTTGACGAGTAAATACTCCAGCGGTGTAATTAATGCAGCATCAGCCCGATGATACATTTGGCCCCACTCTACATGTTCGCTAAGAGCTCGAGTCTCCTTCTCTGGAGTTAAGTGGGAGCAGGATCGGGACCCAGGTCTGTTTAATTTAACTACTGAGAGGGTGGAGTCATTTCTTTCTCAGTGAATAGCTTGGGCATTTTCAGGAGACACCCAAGCAAAGGGCTGCTGTAGCGCCTGCCCCGCGGTGCACCTGGCTGGGATGGGCACAACCCGTTCTATAATCACCGCGTTCACACTGGGCTTACACCGCTCGATCCTGTACAAGCGGGCGAGCCCCTTCACCGCACGAACCAACCACGCCCCACGCCTGCTCCTTTCCAGCTGAACCCAGGCGCGTGTTCTCCGCAAGTCAAGGGGTTACGAGAGCCCCCGGCTCTGTCCCGTGCAGAGCCTGGGGCCACCCGCGCGGGTCACAAAGGAATCGCACCGCACGTGAAAGTCGCCGCCTGGTGCACACCGCGCGGCCGGAGCCCCCCGGGGACACGCGCTGCGGGCTGACTCTCAGCACGGGGATTGCGGGGCGAGGTCTCGCTCCTGCCCCGCGGCAGCAGCAGCCTCCCTTTGCCTCTGGCAGGGCCGGGCTGTGCCCTGAACCGGGCACCTCTCCCCGCAGCCAGGAGCCCAGGGCCCCCGGGGGAGGCGGAGGCGAGCGGCGGACTTACCGGCCCCACGCTGCAGCAGGCGGCGAAGAGAAGGAGCAGCAGATTCCGCATCCCGAGGGCGCCCGGCGAAGCAGCACAGCGGGAGAGCGCTCCCGGGCCACACACATAGGGTCCGCGGGAGAGCCGCCCGCACACGTGGGCAGCCGGCACCTGCCCCGGCTGCTGCCTCTCAGCCAGTCACTCCCCGGGTCCCGTCCGGCTGCTCCTGCGCGGCCAACTTCCAGCCCAGACTGACACCACCTGCCTGCCCCGCTGCTGCCGCTCCGGGCGGCTCCTCCTCTAGGCTCTGGCTGGCTTCCCGCCTTCCCTCCCCGCCTCTGCCCTCCGGCCGCCGCTTCCTTTCCTTCCCTAGGAGGGGCAAAGCACCTGCCCCCTATGGGCAGCATGGGCAACCGGCTCACCCCACAGCCCTGGGCCACCTATGGGGGACATGGGCAACTACCTCCCCCCACAGTCCTGGGCTACCTATGGGGGGCATGGGCAACTACTTCCCCCCACAGCCCTGGGCCACCATGGGAGGTATGGGAAACCCCTCCTTCCACAGAGCCCAGGACCACCTATGGTGGGGGGGCATGGACAACCCTCCTGCCCCCAGAGAGCCCTGGGCTGCCTCTGGGGAGCACAGAACCATAGAAATGTAGGACTGGAAGGGACCTCAATAAGTCATCTAGTCCAGTCCCCTGCTCTCAAAGCAGGACTAAGTAATAACTAGACCATTCCTGAAAGGTGTTTGTCAGCCTGTTCTTAAAAACCTCCACTGTTGGAGATTCCATAACATCTCTAGCTTAGGAAGTTTTTCCTAATGTCCAATCTAAACTTCCCTTGCAGCAATTTAATCCCATTGCTTCTTCTCCTATCCTCAGAGGTTAAGAAGAACAATGTTCACCCCCTCCTTGTAATAACCTTTTATGTAATTGAAAACTGCTATGTCCACCCTCAGTCTTCTCTTCTCCAGACTAAACAAACCCATTTTTTAAATCTTTCCTCATAGGTCATGTTTTCTAGACCTTTAATCATTTTTGTTACTTTTCTCTGGACTTTCTCCATTTGTCCACATCTTTATGAAATGTGGTGCCCAGAACTGGACACAATACTCTAGTGAGGCCTTACGAGAGTGAAAGAATTACTTCTCAGGTCTTGCTTACAACATTCCTGCTGATACATCCCAGAATGATGTTTACTTTTTTTGCAACAGTGTTACACTGTTGACTCATATTTAGCTTGTGATCCACTATAACCCCCAGATCCCTTTCCACAGTACTCCTTCCTAGGCAGTCCTTTCTCATTTTGTAGTGTGCAATTGATGGTTCCTTCCTAAGTGGAGTACTTTACATCTGTCCTTATTGAATTTCAGTCCGTTACTTCTGACCACCTTTGTCCAGGTCATTTTGAATTTTAATCCTATTCTACCAAACATTTGCAACTCCTCCCAGATTCATATCATCTGCAGACTTTATAAGTGTACTCTCTATGCATTATCTAAATCATTGATGAAGATATTGAACAGAACTGGACCCAGGACTGATCTCTGCAGGACCCTACTCGATATGCCCTTCCAGCTTGACTGTGAACCACTGATAACTACTCTCTGTGAACGTTTTTCCAGCCTGCTATGCACCCATCTTATATTAGCTCCATCTAGATTGTATTTCCCTGGTTTGTTTATGAGGTCATGCAAGACAGTATCAAAAGCCTTACTAAAGTCAATATATACCACATCTACCATTTCCCCCCCATTCAGAAGGTTTGTTATCCTCCCCCCCATTCCCCCTGCGTCCTGTGCCACTGCTGGGATGCATGGGTGTGACATGATCCCTGGGGTACAACCTGGAAGTGTGGGACCACTGTGTTCCCTGTGCTTTAGCCTGGGTTGTCTCTCAGGAAGCTATGCCAGTGACAAGCAGCAACCCCCCTCCAGGTGCTGTGATCACTCAGTCATCAGCATGTGGAGCCCCAGACCCAGCTGCATTACATGAATGCTCCCTGAGCTACTCATGAATAATACACAAAGAGGCACCAGCCAATCACCCCAGCCTTGCACCCCAGAAATATACCATCTTACACTGCTCAAGACTTCCTTGGGCAGTGCAAGCTCATTAATTAGCTTGGCACTCCAATAAAAGGGTAGTGGACGTGCAACAGCCCTTGTTAAGCTGAGCTGAGATTCCCCAACCACTTCAACCAAAAACACACTGTTTTAGGTAAAATATAAAACAGATTTATTAACTACAGAAAGACAGATTTTAAGTAATTATAAGTAGCAGGTGTGGAGATCAAAATTGGTTACCCTCAGAAATAAAAATAGAAACACAGTCTAAATTCTCACTTCAACAGACTAAGCAAGATTTGAATCAAGCAGTCTCTCACCCTAACAGACATTACAGGCAGCTCACAATTCCAGGTTGTACCCTGGAGATCCCATCTCAATGGGGAAGCCCCTTTCTTTCCAGAGCTCTGCGCTACTACTGTGCTGCATGGGCTGCCTTCCCTCCTTCCATCATCAGCAATCTAGGGAAACTTATAAAGCAAATTAGGGAAATGTGGTCTAGAGGAAATTACTATAAGGTGATTTCACATCTGGTTGAAAAGAGTAGTTACCAATGGTTCACTGTCCAACTGGAAGGATGTGTCAAGAAGGGTCTTGCAGGGGTTAGTCCTGGGTTCGGTACTATTCAATATTTTCATTAATGACTTGGATAATGGAGTGGAGAGTATGCAGATGAGACCAAGATGGGAGGATTTGCTACCACTTTGGGGAACAGGATTAGAAAGGAATTTGATAAATTGGAGAATCAATCTGAAATAAACAAAATGAAATTTGATAAAGACAACTGCAAAGTACTACAGTTAGAAAGGAAAAATCAAATGCACAAATACAAAATGGGGAATAACTGGCCCAGGCAGTAGTACTGCTGAAAGGAAGCTGAGGGTTATAGTGGATCACAAATTGAATATGAATAAACAATATGATGCAGTTGCAAAAAAGACTCATACCATTCTGCGGTGTATTAGCAGGAGTGACATATGTAAGACACAGAGGGTACTAGTTTTGCTCTACTTGGCACTGATGAGGCTTCAATTGGAGTACTGTGTTCAGTTTTAAGTGCCTCACTAAGGACAAATCTACACTACAAAATTAAGATTAAGTCAACCAAAATTATGTTGACGTTCAGCCACCACAGTAATTGAATCGGTTTTGCATGTCTACACTGTGATCCTTGTGTTGGGAGTGTGTTTCCTCACCAGTTTAACTGCCAGTGTGGGGCATTGTGGGACAGTTTCTGAAAGGCAGCAACAGTCAATGTAAGCAACGCAGTGTCTACACTGACACCGTGTCAACCTAACTACATCCACTTAAGTGCTCAATCAGGGCAAACCGCAAAGAATGGGGCAGACAATCTCCAAAACTGGGGGTTATTCTAATAATTAGATTCACCAAGCCAGCAACAAAACAGCTTCTACAATACCTGACTGGTTATGCAGAAGCCAAAAACACAGCTCCCTTAAAGCAATCCAGCTCTGGGCTACCACCCAGACAGCCAAGTCAAATATGGTGAGGGTTACTTAAAATCTTGTTCACCATATATAAAGTTCTACCAACCCTAAGGGATCGGACACATATTCACCAGGTCAATGAATATTTCAGATCTTACCCAAATACATGCTTACAACCGTTTCTTGTTAACTAAACTAATATTTATTAAAAAATAAAGAGAGTTACTGTGGTTAAAAGATCATTATACATGCAGATATGGATAAAGTTCTTGAGTCACTTTCATAGTAGAGATGGTGACCTGCTGATTTGTAGAAAGCTTTTCCAGAATCAGTTCCGTAGATTATAATCCAATAGGCAGTCTCTGTGCAGAGTCTGTTTAAATTCTTCCATGAGGCATAACAGGGTAATCCAGACTGGAGCTGGAAACCTGTCTTGCGACTCGAGCTTCCCTTGACCAAGCTTAAGCAGATCTGAGACGAAAAAAGGATCAGGTCCCATAATTCTTTTATAGCTCTCTGGCAGGTTACGATAGCCTCTTGGGGCAGGTCACAGCAGGTATGCCGTGGACGAAGAACAGGTAATATACATTGTAGCAATACAAACTTGCATTTCAAACACTAGGGTCTATCTGTCGGAGGCTCCCCTTGGGATAACAAGCCTGGTATATATCAATTTCTTTGTTAAATTGACCAACTCATATAAGCTTGCAGTGTCCAGCGGGCATAACTGAACACTGCCAGACGGAGGTTCCTAGGGTTTTGTTTGGGACCGGAGATATTGGCTAGTGTCATTCGGTTGCAAGTAGCTGGGAGCAGCTTACATGCCAGAGGCTGTGCATGAACAGCCCAGAAATGGGGGTTCTCACAGCAGAGCAGGGTAAGGCTGGCTCCCGGAGTCAACGATTGGAGTGACCTAGCAGATCATTGGTCCAGACAACACCAGAGGGGAACATCACAGTTACAAAGCCAAAAAAGGGGGGCTTTTTAACAAACCTGGTCTAATTCACCTGGGAGAACATCACATTAACACGAATGAAGCACATCCAGTAAGTAGAAGGGCTCCCAGGACAACAGAGAAAAAGAGGGAATAGATCAAGGGGGAGGTGCAAAGCATGCTTGGCACAGAATCGTAGCAGACCCAATCTGTTCCTGGGCTTTCCAAAGAAAGACTGTACAGTAAGGTTTTGTGTGGATTATAGAAAACAATGTGGTTACAGTGCCAGATGCTTACCCTATGCCTCATGTGAATATGTTACATATACTTAGCAGAGCTAAATATTTAACTACCTTGGATTTAACCAAGGGATACTGGCAAATTCCCTTGAATACTGAGTGACAGAAAAAAAGTTTGTATTCATGCCCAATTTTGGGTTTCTTGCGTTTAAGATACTACTCTTGGATTAAATAATGTGGGAGCCATGTTCCAGGGGCTTGTCAATCAGGTATTACATGGGTTCCAGGACTTTGCTTTGAGCTATAGAGATGATATTGCTATATTCAGTGATACCTGGGAGGAACACAGAACACCTGTGGGGAAGGGGTTGGAAAGCCTCAGGGAGGAAGGCCTCACAGTCAAGGTATCAAAGCGTACAGTAGGGGCAGCAGAGATCCTTTACCTGGGTCATTGGGTGGGTGGAGGCCAAATCCCCTCAGATCCTCTGAAAGTGGAAGCTATTGTGCATTGGCCTGTCCCCAAAACTAAAAAACAGGTCCAATCTTTTAT